TTTTTTTCAATTTTAATGAAATAATTTTGGTCCATGTACATAATATGTGCAAGTAGTAATAAAATACTTATAAAAATAAAAAAGTTTCCTTTCTCTCTACTCCATAGCCCAATGTTCTCTTCTCCAAATGCAAGCACTTTTTTTAGCTTACTTGGTGCTTCTGGAATTTAAACAAAATTTGTACACAGTCAAAGTCCCTTCTGGGGTCCTCGCTTGTCCCACTCGTGTCTGCATGGATATTCACTAGTTCCCTGAAAGGTCACGTTTTTGGTTCTTTTCTTTATTCTATCTTGGGAATTCCCTTTGCCTGTCACCTTTGTTGTGACTCTTGTTTGTTGGATCAATGCTTCTTTCTCTTCCTTTGATTTATCCCCGCCCCCTTGTTTTGCTAGATAATATTCTCCAGTTCCTTCCAAGAAAAAATGCTTTGAGGGTTTTTTTGTTTTTGTTTTTGTTTCTTTTTCAAGAAAATACATGTCTGAAGATGTTTTTTTCTGCCACCTTCCTACGTGATGGTTTGGCTGGTGATAGAATTAAAGGTTGAAAGTCACTTTCTGTTAAATGTGGGAGTCATTGCCCCACTGCCTTCTATAGTCCAGTATTGCTGTACATATAATGAAGTATGGTGCCTCACTGATTCCTGATCCTTTCTAAATATCCTAGTTTTTCTATGGAAGGCTTTAGAATTGTCTCTTCATCCCACTATAATGAAGTCTCACTATGACATACCTTGATATTGTTATTTAAAATTTACTTTGGTGAAGAATTTCAATGTGGAAATTCATGTTATCCTTTCTGAGAATTTTTTTGTACTTTTTATTTCCTCCTGTTTTCTCTGATCTCTTACTAGTTAGATATTAGACTAAGTTAATTTTAATTGATTTTTGTATTTTCATACTTTTCCTCTTACTTTTTTCTGTCTCCTGGACTTTTTGTTCTACTTTTAGGAGAGTAACTTGGCTATACAATATGAGATGTCTAACCTCTGTTGAATCTCTATATTGATTGGTTTTAGCTAACAATATAATATGAATTTTAATTGATGCATTTAGCTACATTGTTTTAATGTACTTCATTTATTTAACTAATAGATAACATTTATTAATAGGTTGGCTTGATTTTGTCAGGATAGTTTCAGTTTAGTCTGTTGTTCTTGTGACCATTTCAGTTATCTTCTTGTTTCACTCTCCAAAGTGTCCTATTTTAGATGGTAAATAATATGCTCACACTATTTACTGAGTATTTAGTCTGTACCAAATGCTCTTCCAAGTACTATACATGTAACAGCAGATCTATACAACAACCCAGTGGAGTAGATTCTCTTACCATCATTTTAAAGGTAGGGAAACTGAGGCATAAATAGCTTAAGTAATTTGCCAAGGTATCACAGCTACTAGGCAATGAAGCTGGAAAGTTTGGCTTCTGAGCCCTTGCTCTTGATCTCTGTATAGGTACTGCTTCATAACTGCTTACAATCCGCTATTTGGAGGATATTAGGAATCGCTGCAAACACTTTTGGACTTCCTTTTAGCTAAGCCTTTGTGCATCTTGTATATTATTTCTTTGGGAAAGATAAATTCCTAGTGAAACTAGCTTTCTTGATTCAAGACTCTTCCAACTATGCCATACTGTGCACTTCTTGACAATGGTTGCTCGCTAACAAATCTTGTGATAATGCAAAGGCAGACAAGAAAGTAGACTGGGAGAGTTAACCCTCTAAAGAGAGCTATGTCTCTGTGACTCTCAAGCAAATGAAAAGTTAGGGAAGGCTGTAGTTAATTCTGACCTTTTAAGACTCATGTTGCTCTTTTCTTCTGTGGCTGACATCTGGTTAGGTTGTCTTTACCTTGGCGTTTAAGCCTCCTTGACACCCCCATAAAAGACAATCCTCTAATTGCCCTTTACTGTACTTCCAAAGTCAAAAGCACCGTGCACTTTGGCTCCATCATGCAGAAGACAAATATTCTTTAGTGTTGGTCATATTGACTCAAATCACCCTACTCTTCCTATGGTGCTTTTTCTGAGGCCACTGACAGTTTCCTCATATTTATTTGTTATTGTTTTCTTGGGTTTCCATTTTCTTATATTAAACCCTCTTTTTTAAAATTCTTCAATGACTTTTTATAACCTTCTATTGTCCTAAGGGCCCTACCATTGGATTCCTTTCTTCCTTCAGTGGCTCTTGTTCACCTCGTCCTCAGTGTGGGCAGGGTCCCCCAAGGCCTGCTCCCCATCTTTTCTCATCCTTCACTAATTGTATATCAGAATCACCTGGAGAGCCCTTTCAAAACATCCAAGCCCAGATCTCAACAAATATTAATGGAATCAGTCAACTTGGACTGAAATATTAGTTCTGTGACCCTTGGTCATGTAACTTGACCTCTGAAATCCAGTTAAGATGATGTTAAAATCTGCTTCATCACAGTATTGAATACATTCTAACCCCCCATCATTATAGCAATTTTTTTCTATGTATTTAAAACCCATGTTTCTTTGAAAACTCACTCAAATCCCTCTTTCTTCCCACAGCCCATAATCACTATTTATTTTGGCTTGTTTGCAAAACACAGAACTGAAAACTGAAGAAGGGCCTGTTAAAAGTGAAGTCGTCTCCTCGCTGATCTTCCTTCCACTGTTCTTGTCGCCTTTCAATTCATTCTCCACATAGCACTCAAATGTTCCACTGTTCTTACCAAAAAAACTGAATCATGATGCTTTTTTTGAATCTTCTAATAAATTCTCTTTGTCCCTAGAATAAAATCCAAATTCTTTAATCTGGACAGGACACAAGGTTCTAGAAAATCTAACCTTCATTTCGTGTTCTCCCATGGCTTTCTGTATTCTAGCTGCACTGGTCCTAATGTGAAACACCATTTCCTACTGCAGGGCCTTGTACATGCTGTTTCCTCTACCAGGAAAGAGCTTGCACTCACCTTTTCAAAGTCAGTGTGGTGAATACTTCTCTGATCATCAGTCCAAGTAGATGCCCCTAGTAAAATTTCTTTATACCCCATAAATGCCCTTTGTAATGAAATGTTTTATCATAAACGAGATGGAATAGGTAAGAATATAAACTTTTTCTTGATGTACCTCTTATATCATTTGATTTATTGCCATAGCATGAATTATATTTGTACTTAAAAAATTATTTAAAAGCATGAAGCACAGTATAATAGCCTTAAAAAGTCACTTAGTTGTTTACTGTCTCCCTCCTTCTCTAGAATACAAGTTCCAAGAAGGACATATACCAGGTCTGTTTTGTTCACCACTGTGGCCACAGAATCTAGCATTGCTTAAAACATAGGAAGTACTCAATTTAGCGAGTGATGGCTGCTAACTGAGAAGGGCAGAACATGAAAATTAATTGGGAGGCTAAGCACTAATCTTTTGCCCAGGAAAAAGAAGGCCTGCAATTGTACTTAGGCAATGCAAGGGAGTGGGGCACACCTGGGCCTGCCCTGTCAGAATCTTATTCAGGAGCATCTTCCCAGCCTTTTAAGCAGTTGGATGTGCTTAAAGTCTCTAGAGGGAGGTCGCACTTAGGTTACTGACACCTGAACTAGTTACAAGTAGGACCTGAGCCAGAGGCTACTGATGAGTCCAAGGGGTCATCAATACACTAAGATTTTTTTTTAACTTTTCTACTTATAATTTTTCTAGTTATAATTGCCTTCATTATTAATTTGTCACTCAACATATGCAACTTGGTTTTGTTATTTTTCTTCATTTATATCTGTATATATAAATACCCAATTTTCCAACTGAATCTATAATCTCCTAAATACAAGGTCTTTTTCAATAATGCTTTGAATCCTCGTGACCTGGTACAATCCATATCATATTCCCTAGAAATGAATGTTGCCAGTATTCTTTCATCCATGGGAAATGTTTCAAACTTCACTGTTTCTCAGATACTTTCTAGTAAGTTTTTTTAATGTTTAAATAAATGCAGCAAATATTCACACTTATCAATGCTTGTTGAAGTTTGATTTTCAGTAGCCTTTAATGCTTTGGGTGGGGATTGGAAATATTTGATAAGAGATTTGTAGGTAGATGCCTGCAATATTATCTGAACAAAGAAAGTGGGATCGTTTAATTAGAACATGTATTTTGCATGCAATAAATTGCAACTATTTCTCTATGGTTTTAAATGTAGGATATGCTTTATATATAAGATATAAGAATTGACCTGTGAGGTCTTTTTTGGTCCTAAGATTGTGTTGCAGTAACTAAAACTTTCAACATGGGGGTTGAGGGTCTCTCTTTTTGGTGCAGTTTATGTTGTGTAATATAGCAGAAAGAGAGTAAAATCCATTAATTTTGCACACACTAATGCTGTATCCTTCAACCATGAAAAATGAGGTGAAAATAGGCTCCAGAAGCCTTTGCTTCCAAACACCTGAGGCCAACAAAGACGTTACCAAATCTGCAGTCTTGTAAGAGCAGCGCTAGTTGTTCCCTTCCTTCTGAGGAATCTGAATTATATGTTACATCTAGATGACAAACCTAGATTTGCTCTTTTCCTGTAATTTAACATACCTTGAGCCAGACATGTTTAATTTAGGTTAGAGGCTGCCTTAAGACAGCGTGCATTCAAGGCATTGCGTGACTTCAGTAGGACTACGTTTATTAACTGAGATTACCCATTATGATGGTTTCTAGGCCAACAGCATGAAATGAGCTATTTTTTTAAACCAAAAACAATTACATTGTTGTTTTCCACAAAAAGAAGTATTTATATAGTTGAAGCTACCCTACTCACTCAGTTGCTATTCTTAATTGCTGCAGGCTGGTTTTCTTTTTCTCCCTTATAGTCTATGCTTGCTTTCCCCATTTTCTCCTCATAATTAAAGTCTATAGATAGTGGAAATTTTGTATTTATTAGTAATAAAGAAAGAAATAAAGTGGTAATATACTTAAAAGTTTTTTTTAAAAAATTATCTCTTTTACAAATTTAGGAAGGAAACTAATTAGTTAAAAATGTATTCATATGTGCTTACCATGGGTTTTGGTATCTGTGGCTTAGTTCATCAATAGCAGCTTGACTTAGTTCTTGATACTGTAAAAGGAAGAAAATTAATGTACCCTAATAAATAGGCACCAATGTGTCTAAGGGTCTACGTTCCTAATTGAAAGTGAAATCAGGGTGAGCAATTAAACAGAAAATGTTAAATTCAGTTAAAAAAAGGTGGTCTTTTGATTTTTTTCATTTATTTATCTATTTATATAAAAGTACTGCACCATTCAAATTCTTTGAATAAGTACAAATTCAAAGCAAATAACTAAAATCATGGCAATACCACCTGTGCTTTTGGGAAGAAAATAGAATCATCAGTTGTGTCATTTATATTTGGGCATAATTTTTCCTAAACAAAGTTAAATTTGCATTATAAAGATTTGCCTTATCAAAAGTATCTTTTATTTTTTCAGTTACAGTTTACATTCGATATTATTTTGTATTAACGTCAGGTGTACAGCATAGTGGCTGGACAGTCACATGCTTTATACAGTGTTCCCCCTGATTCTTCCAGTACCCACCTGGCATCATACGCACATACTGCAGTGTTACTGAGTCTATTCCCTGTGCTGTAGTTCATACCCCCTTGACTCTTTTGTAATGACCAATGTGTACTTCTTAATCCCTTGGCCTTGTTTACGCAGCCCCTCTACCCCCCTCCCCTCCAGCAAACATGAGTTTTGAATTGAGGGGAACAAAATACAGAAACTGAAATAAATATGACCCTATGCACTTTACTTTCTCTCAGTAAAAGGGCAGATGTTAAGTGGCAAGAAGAGTGTTGTCAGTGATCTCTGATCCCCTTTCTCTGTTTATGATTCCTATCTAAATAAACAGGCCTTCAAAACTACTATTTATCAGTTAGATTCAAACAGTTTAGTCCTTTTCGAGTTACCTCCATGGAATTAGAAAATGTGGTGGTAGTAACATACAGAAGAGTTAGGTTATACGTAGATAACTGTAGTAAAGTGTAGATCTGAAAACTCCTTTCAGAAAGCATAATTTGGAATATTGATAAATATTTGTTAGCTTAGAACCAGTTCTCACATAAAAAAATAATAATCTCTCATCCTCTGGTGTACACTGAAATTAACTATTTTCACTGACCTCTATATGCTGCCTCCCATTCCCCAGGAACTAGCCAATGGATGGCACATCTTATGAATAAGCATGGGGAATAGAAGTGTGAGATTTATACTGAAAAGGGTTTTGGTTTGCAATCATTTCTAAGTTTCCCATACCAGGGTGTGAAAACAATGATATGGATTATCAGATGTACTTCACTTCATTTTTGAAATGCATGTTTTTGTTTACATTGATATGGGATGCTATATTCGTACAAACTAGCAAAACCATATTATAATAATTTCAATGATGTAGTACTTTTAAAAATATCTTCCCTTTTTTCTCTTTTTCCCCCTCAAGCTTTGGTTTAGAATGACTTTTCTGATCAAATGCTTCAAAGTTACTTGCTCTAGAAAAACAGATCTATTTCCTTAAGTCATCTCCTCAGGGGGAAAGACCTGGATCCTTGATCCTTTCTCTTGAATGTCCACATATAGGATAAAGAAAGTGACAAATGGGATTTTAATGCAAGGTTGCATCACCATACCATAGAATATTTGAAAAATTATCATCTGTATATAATGGAAAGATCATGGTATAATTTTGTTTCTTCGACTGATTTCTAATACAGTGATTCCCTGAAAATTGACCTTATCGATTAACTTATAAATAATTTCATTATAAGCTTCTAGGCAAATTGTTTGGGATTTGAATAATCTTTTTGATCTCTGTTCACATTTTTAAGAACCAAAAATTGCATGTCCTTAATCTGGAAAGACTTTTCTTTGAAACAAAATAACAGATCCTCTCCCTCCATTTCTCCTATAGATATCAGCATATGATGTCATAAAACTTTTGTTATCTAAAATAAGCTGGCCCTTCTCTATCATAACATATTAATGAAATTCTTCATGGGGTTTTTTTTTTGAATAATCATGCTTACTGTGGTGTTAAATTTAGTGAAATTCAGAATTGAAAATATTTTTTCACTGGTCAGTTGTTTATAAGAGTAAATAAATAACTGATTCAAAAAAAAATTCAACATCTTCATAGAAACAGGTACCAATGATTGGTATATTCTCTATATTGAGGAAATTAGTGAAAATCTTTTATAGTAATTTGAATGTTTTCAACTAACAAAAATAATTGTAAACTCAAAATTGGATATTTCTTATTGAGCCATTTTTCAAAAAGTCTAGGCATTAATAAAAGGGAAATATCTGCTAACTACATTCAGATACCATGAATTAGGCACAATTTCTGGATGCTTAAAAATTGTTAAATTTGACTTAATTGCAGACATTTGTGGCGCATTCTAGTTAACAATTAAAATCATTGCTTTATACTTCACTTTTACTTTCAGACCCCCTCTAGTCTAGTCCTGACGTACTTAGCACATTTTCTGGGGACTGACCAGCGAGGAATCATTTTGCTTTGTTGCCGTACATGACTCAAGATGCTTTTCTTAATATATTCAATTTTGACTTTCCTTACTAGAAAGTACCACTTTCTGTCTCTATAACTATGAGGTCTTTCTCTCCAGTAGAATAAATACAATGGCAATGCATTTTAAGAATGCATAGACACTAGGGTTTCTCTTCTCCAACCTCCTCCTTGGTAACATAGAGTTCTTAGTACCAAACATTTGAGTGGAAAATCCCCTAAGGCTACCTTTTCTTATGCTAATAGATTTTTGCCTTCACTTGCCTCAATTTGCAAAATATTACTGTTAACCCCTTAGGTGTCTTTCTTCCCACAGCCTGTGAGAAGCATTCTCATTGTTGTAGCTGGATCACCAAGTTGCATAATGTTGTCTATTCTAGACTAGAACTATTGTAGGGAGCAAGGGGGCATAAAGGCCTTTGTGTAAATGGAGCATTTAAAGTATTCATTTTATATTCAGAGCATGAGTAGAAACAAAACAATTCTTTCTGAAAAATGTCAGTGTTTAAGGCATGGAGCCTGTGATGCATTTTTCTTATTAAAAAGCAAAAAGTGAACAATGTGGAGACTCATACTTCATTTTAGGATACATTATATATGAGCACCAATATGAATTATATTCTTGTCTCTCTCTGTTTTTAACTGCAGTGTTTTTAAATAATTTGAAAACATACATCGACTTTCACCAAATGACTAAACATTGGGCTTTGTGAATTTGTTGCTGGTGGCCCCGGTATCTCCGTTTTTTTTGCGGAGTATACAAATAATGAGCAACATATTCCATTGTGTTTCTAACATGCTTAGAATAATATAATTCAAAAGTCCATGAAGACAGGAAAATAGAGTATATACAGATATTAATGATCTTAGATCCCATTTATTGAGGCTTATTACACTAGATGCTATGCTAAGTGCTTTACACACAATCCATTTAACAGTCCTCTAAGGTATTATTATTACCATCCCTGCGGCAGGCAGAATTCCGTGCAGACCTCCTTCCCCCACAACCCCCAACCCCCGCCAAGATTCTCACTCCTTGGTATACACACTTTCTCCCAGGCATTGACCAAATACTAATCTAGGCACTGCTGTGAGGGATTTTGCTGATGCAATTAAGATCCAAAAATCAGTTGACTTTAAGAAAGGGAGATTATCCTCCGTGGACCTTACTTAACCAGGTGAGCTCCTAAAAGGATCCTGACTCCTATTGGCAAAGGGGATTTAAAGTGTGAGAGGGATTTGACTTGAAGGAGATTTTCTGTATCTAAAGATAGAAGAGGCTGTGCAGAAAGGAATGTGGGCAGCTTCTAGATGCTGAGAATGGCCCCTGGCTAACAGCCAGCAAGGAAATGCATCCTCAATCCTACAACCAAGAGGAACTGAAACCTGCCGCAACCACATGATGAGGAACTGAAATCTGCCACAACCACATGAACTTGGAAGAGACCTCTAGCCTCAGATGAGATCACAGCCATAGCTGAGACCTTTATTTTAGCCTGTGAGACCTGAGCAGAGAACCCGGCCATGCCTTCCCAGGATCTCTGACCTATAGAAATGTGAGCAAATAAATGGGTGTTGCTTTAAGCTGCTAAATTTGTGATAATTTGCTATGCCCAAAAGAAAACTAATACAATCCCCACTTTATAGATAGGAAAACTGAGACATAAAAACCAGTAGGCAGACTAGCATGCAAAGAGAGAAGGGGAAAATGAAGTTTTCAACTGGCTACTTTCATTTATAAGTCACATTCAATTTTTCATTAAGGCCACAAATACAGATTTACTCTGAAAAGCATTATGAATGCTGTTGCCTCCTTCATTCTGAGAGAAGGCAAATATCTATTATTTTCTCCCTGCACTACTCCAGGGACAGTAATGTTTTCCTTATTCATCTATTATGAATTATTATTATTCATAATAGTATTCCTGTAATTCAAGATACACTAGGATTTCTTTTTAAAGCAAGAGTAGGGCTCATTCTGTTGGGAATTGTTAGGATTTGTAATGAGTAACCAATCATTCGGTTATGAGTCCTTTATTTAGAGTTGGTTGATGATTCCTACCAGAGTCCGAAGTCTAAGCAGTTTCAACTATTCAAGCTCAGAAAAGCTAAACAGAGGCTTCCCACGTGTGCTCAGTGCACAGTTTCTAAAATATAATCAAGTGCCTGTTTTGCAACTGTTCTCACCCTTGGAGTTTTCCAATATATTGGCACTGTTGCTAATTCAAAGGTTAAAAAGTATGCTTCTTCCAAGTTAATTGTCCAGTTGGTTTCAAAATACAGAATTATGCTAGGGAAGGTAGTTCAGGCATTGTGAACAGTAATAGTAGAACTAAGTGTCAGCAAAAAAAATTAAATGGTAAATAGTTTCAAACAACTATCGAATAAGCTAAGAGTAGAATAGTTCTGAATCTAATACTCACTTAAAAATCCATTTCTCCCCTTCTGTTACCTGGTCTCTCAACAAAGACACTGTGTGAGAAAGGAAGCAAATTCAGTCCCTGTCTCCCATATTTATTGGTAATTGTCTATGC